GAAGTGGGTAGTTACAAGCAGTTGATAAACGATCAAAACTGTCCAGGCCATATAAAAGGAGGAAGAAGACAACGAAGAAAGGACCCGACAAAATTCACTCTCAAAACAGAGAACATGTAATTTACTTTTCTTAGATTAATATTTAATTACTTCAAATCCCCTTGTACTTGTGTGCTTGCACCCCTTGGAGGCATCTTGTTTGTGTCCAAACTGTAATCTTCATATTTAATAAACACCCGTTTTTGGGACTTTGTTTCAAAAGGTTTGTCCCTTACACAATCGTCTGATTCCCTTTTTAATTGTTAGCGAGCGAAAACGCGCGAAACAATAATTACTGTCATCACTATCCAAAGGAACCACCCTCTCATCCACCCAAAAGATGAGCCATTTCGACCAATCAACTGAATCTTTGTAGGGAGATTCCACCATTTTCCTTGAAGCATCAAAATTAGATTATCAAAATTTTAAAACGACCCCAAAAAAAAAGAGAAAAAGAAAAAACAACATTTGATTACATGAATTGTAGGGAAAGAAAAAAGTAGACCCCATTTACAAAATAACAGGCGTGCCTCATTGTATCAATTAAGGTACCTCCAGAAAGAACAACAGAGAAAGAACCCTTCTCTCCGATAAACTTTTTCGACAAATCGGTGGTGTATTTTGCAAGAGCAACGGCAACATCTTCCTCCGAATAGAACTTTAGTACGTTGGTTTTGCTTTTCACTGGAGTGTCGAAAGCCATTGATGCAAGAGAAGCTATGGATTTACTCCAAATTTTAGTGTCATGTGTAGTAGGCCACAGCTATTCCTATTTATAGCAACAAAAGTTCATCGACACAAAATATGTTAGCATGCGGCACAATTTAGTGTCGAGTATACACCACCGCTAACTCAGATTTATAGGAATAAATGTTCAAAATATGTTAGCACCTTGCACAATTTAGTGTAGAGTACATGCCACTTGTAGCCCAAAACAGTTTTGCTACAGTTAGTTGACAGTTTTGTTTACATTCTTTGATATGACACATAGTTTTACAATTAATTTTAACA